TTATTTGTTGTGGGCAATTCAGATCAAATTCCACCTTTAGAACTGCAAGGGAGCCAATTCAAAATTTTAAATAGAATTTTAATTCTATTTAATAGAACAACTGAAGTTTTTATAATAACTTACTGAATGAAACAAGGGACTTCTCAGTTTAAAGCAAATGTTCAGAGGAAAAACTCAATCAGACTGACCAAATGTACACATGTGAATGGGTGAGTTCTAAAACAGCATTTAAGACAAACACTTTTTTCCTACAAAAGGGTTTTATGAAGGTAAACGTAATACTTAAAAAAAAATTTTTTAGTATTTTTCCAGTGCAAATGTCTAAATATTATTAAATCAAGATACATTTACTTAGGAAGAAACAACAACAGAAGACAAGGAGTCCTGTTTTCTGTGAAATTAATCAAAATGAAGTGAGTTTATGATTAAAAAGAACAAATATCTGCCATGTGGGCTCAAAAAAAAAAACACTGACTCACTTAATTTTGTTCAATTTCTCAGAAAACAAAACTTCATCTTGAATTAAGGATATTTACAGATTTGCATTGGAAGACAAAACAAAAATATTTATTATAATGTTAGCAATGCATGCGACATTTAATGCAATGCCATGATTTTATGATTTTCTGCTCTGATTTAAGAGCTTTTTAAGGCCTTAATTTATGGAAGGGTGAATTGAGATTTTTTAGGACCTGCAGAAACCTATACAATAATTATGCAAAATAACTAAGATATATATATATATATATTTTTTTTTTTGCATTAAAAATCCCCTTGTTTAAAAATGTTTCACATCCTCTCGCTCCTGCACACATGCATAAATCTACAGCCTATCATGGCAATTAGCAGACTGGCTGCCCGGCAGTGTGTGTTCTGCATAAAAAGCTCTTCAAAAGTGACCGTTTAAAGACATTGAGGGAAAATAAACTCCGGAACACAATGCACCACTAGCTTTCTCTACCCACAATGCCCCCACCAAGGTCTGTGGCACAATCCAGTGTGGTCACACTGTGCTTTGGTTCTGGGGAAAACTGACCTCGAGCCATTCTTGGGTTACAGGAGCACCGGAGCGTTCCACAGCCCTCAAAAAGCGGATGTCCAAAAAGCCTGGTCCAGCCCTTGGGGCCTTTTATAGAGAGCACAGGAAGTACAATCAGTACCCACAAATGAAACACCTCTAATTATGAGCTGGAAATGTAAAGTTGAAGAGATCAGCATTAGCATGCACACTCTGAAAGCCGCTCTATAAATACATCTCTTCTCCACCACGTACTCCATCACTGACAGGATGTTACCTTACATCCTTATTTTGATATTTCGAGATAAACACCGCTCACACAGTTCTGGAAATAAAACTCTTCTTTCCATCATTAACAACATTATGAATTCAATTTCCAACAAAAATTGGATTCTGATATAATTATTAGCAGCACAATGTGGTTTCTTTATGCTTCATTCGTGTTTCGGGGTGATTAATGACGGTCTAAACCGTATTGACTGTTCATTTCACAGGGCCTATAGCATTGCTGTGTCATCAAAGTACATCCCCCAGAGACTCGACTAAAACTATGGACTATACAGCATTAATAGCAGAAATTATGAACTATAAACTCTGCTTTCAGAGGTGGTAATGGGGAAGTTTTACCCACAATGCAATTGCAACTTCCTCTTCAGGTGACAGCCTATATTTGTAGAAGTTCTCCATCAGTTTCCTCAGATGTGGAGTGAAACACTTCCAGTGATAATTTAATTTATAATTTAGGTGTCGAAAAGACAAGGGAAGTCAGTTCTGTTCATTAATACACTGGGAAAAAAATATTTGTACTTTTTTGAATTACTGTACAAATATCTAAACATTCTCAAATCAAGATACATTTACAGGAGAAGCAAAATGACTTAGATATTATGTCTTGTTTTTTGTTTTTTAAATGATCAGAATTAAGTTAAGAATTAATTTTGATAAAAAAGACAAAGAAAATCCAGAAAAATCATTTTTATCTTACCCTACTGACAGGTATTTTTTTCTTGTTTTAATCTATTTAACTTAATTTTTGGTATTTTTAAGAAAACAAGACTTAATAATTTAAGTCATTTTACTTCTCAAATTTATAAAAATTAAGTGAGTTTATGATTAAACCAAGAATTTATTAGTATTTTTTTTTTCTTTTTTTTTTCTTAATGTTTTCTTACACCAATGACAGGTATGCTTTTCTTAACTTAATTTTGGTACTTTTTTCAGCAAACAAGACTTATATCTTAAGTGATTTTACTTCTCAAATTGATAATTTTATAATTAAAACAAGAAAAAATAGAGAAAATGTTTCTCTTACCCCACTGACAGATATTTTTCTTGTTTTAATCATCAACTGAATTTTTCTGAAAACAAGACTTACTATCTTAAGTCATTATGATAATAAATAATAAACAAATGTACCTCGATTTAAGAATTTTTTGATATTTGTAATTGAAAAAATAAGACAAAAATACTTAGTAAAATCATGTTTGCAGTGTACTAATGAAATATTAATATTTTAATATATATTATTGTCAAATAAAAAGCATGTAAAAAGCGGAACAAATAACACAATACATTTTTTTCTGGAACAAAATAATAAAAAAAACATAAATTTTAGAGTTACCCAGCTGAAAAAAGGTCCTATCTGGTTTTAGCTGGTTTTCACTGGTCTGGTTTGATGGTTATATTTGGTTTTGGGGCATCATAGACTGACCAGATGGACACCAGCTTGGCAAAAACAGACCGGCAAACCAACTGGTCAAGACTGCAGCAGAACAAAACACTGAGCATGTGACTTTGTTTGGGTGTCTAAACAGCATAGAAACGAAATAAAATTGCTTTGTTTTATTTAGCAGTGGCTTTTTCCTGTCTATAGAAACAACAGCCGTTTTGCACCAGTGTCACAGGTCTGCACGTGTAAAAACAAATGGCACAATAAAACACACCTGAAGCTGTTGCAGTGCTTTGATGGGTCACAATGACTCTTGGCATGTGGTGACTTTGTTTGGGTGTCTAAACAGCATAGAAACGAAATAAAATTGCTTGTTTTATTTAGCAGTGGCTTTTTCCTGTCTATAGAAACAACAGCCGTTTTGCACCAGTGTCACAGGTCTGCATGTGTAAAAACAAATGGCACAATAAAACACACCTGAAGCTGTTGCAGTGCTTTGATGGGTCACAATGACTCTTGGCATGTGTGTGTGTGTGTGCAAGAAATGTAAATGTGATTTGTCTGAGCAGATATTTTAGGAGCGTCTGTAGGAGTTGAAGAATGTGCGGCCACAGACTAGTCTATCGTCTGCTTGGATTGCAGGACGTCAGTTCATTCGAGCCGTCCAGGTCCCCTGTGTGACCAACTCAACCAAACTGCCGCCCACTTACCGGCAGGAAAATGACAAGCCATAGAAGATCACTGAGTCTCCTTTGCTGGTCGGCACGGAGAAAATGAGGGACCAAAGATGGCGATTGCTTCCTGTTGGAGTGGGCGGCAGCGGAGACGTGTCCCGTTCTTCTCTCCATCAGCAGGTTGACCCCTCTCTCCTCCAGAGGTCAGTAGCATAGGGCCATCTACTGGACGAGACCACGGTCCAATTAGACAAAACAACAGAACCAGATGGGAAAAAAAAAAAAAAACACAATCTCAAAATGGCCTTTGATGACATTTGATGAGCACATGTAGTAGGTATTTCCTTTCTGTTGTATTCAAAAACTGGATGCGTCTGTGTTGGGGTTGTCTCTTCTATTGTGTTAGGGATCCATTTTTGTTCCTATTTTTTGTTAAAAATTAGCTGCACAAACACAAAATGTATTTTTTAATGACTACTTGTGGTGACTATTTGAGTAAGTATAAATAGCATTAAACATTGTTTGTACTTAGTGTAATCATATTTATCGCTATTTATGCTTTTTTGTTATGTTCCATTCTCAAAACCGTGGGTAAAAATGCTTTCTCACACTTCTTTTCAACAGTGTAGTAATTGAGATCCAAAAAACTAAAAATGAAAAACAACCTTTGACTGATTTATGGACTATGAAACTCAAATAGATGTAGTGTTGATTTTGGGCAAACTGCATGGAAACCAATGAGGGTCAATGGGGGAGTCTATGACCCCAACAAAAGTTTCCAAAACACATCGATTGGTCAAAACTTTGTATGCACATTCATGACCCTAAATGAGAATTATTCACCAAATTTCAAGAAGAAATAAATAATTGAACCAGTATTTCAAGCAGTTTGAAATTTGTGTGTTGGTCAAATTGACCCCAACACAACAGGAAGGTTAAAGTGCATCTAATATTTTGTCCAATTGTTAATCACAGAAACAGGTTTACTGCATTTCACATTTAACACCAACTTAACCTGGAGATAAAATCCATAAAACAAAAAATAATTAACAAAATGTCAAACTGTAAATGATCAAATACACAATAAAGGTGAGGCATCACATTTTCTGTTCACATCAAATACACATTTCCCCTTTAGGAAAAAACATTAAAACTTGCCTAAAAATGCAAAGAAAAATCAAAACTTTCTTGGTTTTATATTTCTCTGAATGCCTTTATTACATAAACATGAATATGTACGTACAGTACGTGTGAATACTTCAGTGTTTTAGAGGCCAAAACCGCAGTAGTGCGAGTATAAAGTGCTTATGTAATGGATGACATCAAAAAGACATCTTACAATCGTTTGTATTCAGTCAGCTGACAGGATAAATCAAATGGATTAACATCGCTGCATTTAAAAACAGTTAAACAATCTTCAGTATCTTCAGTCATTATGCTTCTCAAATAGACCAACACAAGAATTTGACTTTTTTTTATTGTTGTAATCATAAACTCAAACTTAATTTTGAAGTTTTCAGAAACAAACTTAATCTCTTAAATCATTTTGCTTCTCAAAGTGAGTTTATGATTGAAACAAGAAAAAAAATAGTGAACATTGTTTATTAAAGAAAAATAGAGAAAACGTTTTAAATTATTTTCTTACTGCACTGATGTTTTTTTGTTTGTTTGTTTCAATCAAACTCACTTAGTTTGGATCCATTTGAGCAGCAAAAGACAAGAAAACAAGACCTTGGTATTTTTATATCTTGGTTCATTTTTTCTTATTAAGTGAATGCATATTGATTTAAGATATTTTTGATATTTTTTAGAGGAAAATGAGCCGTCTCCTTAAAGGGGATAGTTCATTCAAAAATGAAAATTCACTCACCATTTACTCATCCTCAAGTAGTTTCAAAACCTGTATGCATTTCATTCTGACTTCCAAAATGTCTTATTTCATGTTCAACAGAAAAAAGAAACTCATACAAGTTTGGAACAACACGAGGGTTAGTAAACAATGTCGGAATTGTCTTTTTTTGAGTGAACTAACCCTTTAATGCAATCATATGTCTTTCAAAAGATTAACAGTTAAATAATTTACACAATAAAATCAACCACACAGACTTGTTTGTGCTTCGGTCGTTGAGTTTGTAACGAGCAATAAATACAAGCACTGACCATGTCAGATAAACAAACCAGTCGCAGATACACCTCATAACACAGTCAAGCAGAGTTCCTGGCATCATCCAGGTGGTCTTTCCGGTTGATAAAGACACACTGGATGCGGCAGGCCCGCGGGCCGCTGTCCTCTCTGCGGAGGGAGATGATGAACCTGCTGATGCCAGTGTTTGGGCACGAGGAGGACACCTGGCTCATCTTCAGGCCTGCGGGCAAACAGCACTGCAGATCCTCCACTAGGTGGCGCACAGACACACGGATAAATGCCCCATGACTGACGATCAGAGCGTGGACGGGTACATTCTGGACTCCATCATTAGCTAGTCCAGCAATCACAGGCTGTTCTGGTTCTGATGGTCCAGGAGTGGACACAGAACACTGGTCGGCTGAGCCGTGCTCCTCTAACATGCGCTGATACAAGGATTTGAGGAACTTCTTAAAGCGTGTCTTTACCTGGATAAACAGAAACAGTTTCTTCTGTGTGAGCATTTCATCTGATCAGCCAACGGCGACTACAATCTCGGAAAAAATACAATAGAAAAAACGAAATAGTAAATTTTATAGTTATGTAGACTATTCCCAATTTATTTTTTACATTTTTGAAAGAAGTCTCTTATGCTCACCAAGGCTGCATTTATTTGATCAAAAATACAGTAAAATTGTGAAATATTATTGCCGTTTAAAATATCTGTTGTCTATTTTAATCTATTTTAAAATGTAATTTATTCCTGTGATCTTAAAGCTGAATTTTCAGCATCATTACGCCAGTCTTCAGTGTCACATGATCCTTCAGAATCATTCTAAAATGCTGATTTGCTGCTCAAGAAACATTTCTTATAATCAATGCCAAAAACAGTCTTTGCTGCATAATATTTTTTGTGGAAAAAGTTCAAACGTTTGAGATGAGTAATATTAAATTAAAGACATTTATACTTTTATTCAGCAAGGATGCATTAAATTGATCAAAGGTGACAGTAAAGACATTCATAAAGTTTTCAAGTGTTATATTTCGAACAAATTATGTTATTCTCTACTTTCTAATCATCAAAGAACAAAAAAGAAATTAAACAGCAAACCAACATTGGTAATTATAATAACCATTGCTGATAACCGAGTATCAATAATAATTGAGCAGCAAATCAGCATATTAGAATGATTTCTGAAGGATCATGTGACACTGAAAACTGGAGTAAAGATGCTGAAAATTCAGCTTTCCATCACAGGAATAAATTACATTTCAAATTATATTAAAATACAAAAAAAAAATTTGTGATTACGATACTGTATTATTACTGTGGTATGCAACAGCAACCGCACGTTCTGGACTTGGCAAATGTCTTGTCCATCTATGTATAACATGATTGTATATTTGCTTTTGTCATTGTGCAGCGTCCTTGAGCTTGGGGAAGGCGCTATTTAAATTAAACGTATTATTATTATTAATATTATTACTTTTAATCAAATTAATGCAGTCTTGGTAAACACAAGATACTTCTCTCAAAAATCTTAATCATTCCAGACTTACTTGTATTTTAAGTGCTTCATGATTTCAGTAGCATCCTATTTTGCAACAATCAAAACTTTTTTCTTGCGAGAAAGGCTGCATTTATTTGATCAAAAATACAGTAAAATTGTGAAATATTATTGCCGTTTAAAATATCTGTTGTCTATTTTAATCTATTTTAAAATGTAATTTATTCCTGTGATCTTAAAGCTGAATTTTCAGCATCATTACGCCAGTCTTCAGTGTCACATGATCCTTCAGAATCATTCTAAAATGCTGATTTGCTGCTCAAGAAACATTTCTTATAATCAATGCCAAAAACAGTCTTTGCTGCATAATATTTTTTGTGGAAAAAGTTCAAACGTTTGAGATGAGTAATATTAAATTAAAGACATTTATACTTTTATTCAGCAAGGATGCATTAAATTGATCAAAGGTGACAGTAAAGACATTCATAAAGTTTTCAAGTGTTATATTTCGAACAAATTATGTTATTCTCTACTTTCTAATCATCAAAGAACAAAAAAGAAATTAAACAGCAAACCAACATTGGTAATTATAATAACCATTGCTGATAACCGAGTATCAATAATAATTGAGCAGCAAATCAGCATATTAGAATGATTTCTGAAGGATCATGTGACACTGAAAACTGGAGTAAAGATGCTGAAAATTCAGCTTTCCATCACAGGAATAAATTACATTTCAAATTATATTAAAATACAAAAAAAAAATTTGTGATTACGATACTGTATTATTACTGTGGTATGCAACAGCAACCGCACGTTCTGGACTTGGCAAATGTCTTGTCCATCTATGTATAACATGATTGTATATTTGCTTTTGTCATTGTGCAGCGTCCTTGAGCTTGGGGAAGGCGCTATTTAAATTAAACGTATTATTATTACTTTTAATCAAATTAATGCAGTCTTGGTAAACACAAGATACTTCTCTCAAAAATCTTAATCATTCCAGACTTACTTGTATTTTAAGTGCTTCATGATTTCAGTAGCATCCTATTTTGCAACAATCAAAACTTTTTTCTTGCGAGAAACCTCAATTTTGACCTGTTCCAGCGTCTCTCCGCCGGGCGGTGTATAATCTCGGCAGGCCTGACCCGCTGCGTTCGCCATGTTCTTCAGATGTTCCTTTGGTCTTCCCTCTGCCACCCCAAAACCCTGTCCAATGCATCACACGCATGCATTTAAATCGACACTACAGCCATTCTTAAAGGCGATGCCAAATTAGTATTCTTTTTTAAAATCATACTTCTCATATAGCTTTTTTCTTTTATTATTATTGCTTACTTGTTCATTACTATTTCTTATGTTCATCTTATCGTGCAATTTTATATTTTATTCATATATTTATTAGACAGTCTAAGTAGCTGCAGACAGATTGCTTGGGGAAACTCACCCTCTCTCTGAGTAAAGGATCCAATATCATCTCAGCCGCAGAAGAATGAAGGTTGTTCCCTAAAATGATTTCAGCTGTCTTGAGAAGGAGAGGTTATATTTTATTTGAGGGGTGGTTCACTCAGAATATTTAATTTAACACAGTTGCAGTCACACACACCTGGCCGGCTCTTTGCAGGTTACTAACGAAGACATTGGTGAAATGCAGATCTCTGAGGTACTGTCCGGCCGCCGCTGCCTGCTGATGTCCCGTGTCTGACAGCGGTGTGTCGATGCCCTGACCTACACGTGTGAGAAAAAACTTTCATCCACACAATTTGAAAAGGTCAACAGCACACATTAGAGGTCAGCGCTTACACCCACTCACCTTGAAGCAGTTTATCTCTGTTGTACTGTGTTTCTCCACTAGGAAACAAAGCCCATAATAACTCATAACAAATAAATGACTACAGCAGAAGGGACAGTTCACATGCTATGACATCAACACGTTCATTTAGAGGTCATTGTGATCAACTAGAGACAAACGTGTTGAGTATATACAATATTAAGTGTTCCTGTAAACATTTGGTGATATGTTTTTGAGAAGACTTGAACACATGCAGATAATGTGCATGTCCTCTCTGTCCCTACAGCATCATCAAATAACATGTCACAGTTATAAACAAATGCATGTAAAACAAAGCATACAGACAGAATACACACGCGCACACTTACTGCCGAACGACTGTCAATGCAAATGTAAGCATAATACAAATTTGTTAGACCGGATGAAATGTATATGACCGGCGGCTCTTCCTGGTTCACGAATCAACGTGTTCGTGTTGCGGATAAATGACGTCACTTCGCCCTCCTGTGGTGATTTGTGGGAAGTGCACCAAGGTTATGTTAGTAACCTGAGATGTTCCCTTTCGAGAGGGTCTCTCGATGTTGCGGACAGTGTAAGCTGACACATTCCAGACACCGGAGCTAGACATGCAGTTGTGGAGCTGACCGGGATTAGACAGCACATTGGTCATAGGGTGGGTCTTCTGAACTGCTGTATGTGTGTGCGCACAACGGCAACATATAAATCAGTGAGACGCAGCACTTTAAAACTATCAGAAAACAGCTGTCATAGACAATATCACAGCAATTGCAACAACAAGCAGCGGACCCAGCTGCTGCAATAGAGTGAGCGGCGGCTGTCAGAGATTGTGAAATACAAGTGTATTACTGACTACTGGAGAAAGCGTAACGGTCAACTTGGATCACGTGTGCCTTAATAACCAATCACATTAGAGCCTTGACGTCATTGAATTTCAGTCAGAGTTGTGCGACACTCAATCCCTGTTTACAGATACAATAGGAAGCACAAAATAAGCTGAATCCCACATGTCGCAAAAAGTCAGTGACTTCTCCTATAAAATGTCATTTTTGTCGATGTAAACTCTAAAAATAGTTCAATCCAAAAGTATTGTTTAGTGTACAACATGTTGAAGATTAGATGATAGGCTGTCGATTCGTTAAATGATAAGCTGTTTCCTTTAAATAGCTGTTTATTCAACATAGTGTAGCATCTCCTCCATTGACATCCATTAAAAAAAAATAGCCTCTGGTCTCCTTCCCCACGTATTGCCAAAGCGGAAGTGTTAGCATTAGCCGTTACAGTTTTTTGGCTAAATGTTACAGGCTTGCCTTCTAGCGGCTTTGGCGGCTGTGCCAGGCCGGCGTCGTCGTCTTCATGACGTCAGACCCTAGCGGACCTAGTGGAACCCCAGAGCCCAGAAAAAGGGGCGCGGGCCTTACCAGGCTTACTACTCAGTGCACAAGCAGTGACATGAATCATACAGTAATGACATATCTGAAGAAGCAATACGCTCCGGTTACATGGGCTTTGAGCGAATATTGGAGGAATCACAGAGGAGGCAGACGACATAAGGCCACAAGCATCCTCTAAAAAACTCAAAGTCCCGAGTTTGAATGACGGCTCTAGCTGCTGAATTGTCAGGTAGTGTTCCGGCGTAATCCATGCCTGCATCTGGGCTGAATCAATAACTGTCCCCAGAAAGACAACTCGCTGGCTGGGAGACAGAGAGCTCTTGGCTAAATTGATTTTTAGCCCAAGCCGCTCCAGATGATAGAGTAACAGCAACCTGTGAGCAATGAGTTCCTGTTCCGATCTGGCTAACACAAGCCAATCATCGAGATAATGCAGATTCCCATCTGGAAGGGAAAGAGCCGCGTCCACACACTTTTCGTAAAAGTGCTGAAGGCCAGGCACAGTTAGAATGGCAGGACTGTTTATTGATAAGCCACCCCCTCAAGAACGGTCTGTGATGAAGGGCTATCTGGATGTGAAAGTAAGTGTCTTTCAGATCCACCGATCAAAAACCGTCCCCGGGGCATATTTGCACAGGGATCTGTTTCAAAGTCAGCATCTTGAACAGCCGTTTCATAAGGATGCGGTTCAGATGCCTGAGATCGAGAATGGGCCTCAGCCCGCCATTTCTTTTGGGAACGAGGAAGTAGCGGCTGTAAAAGTTTCACTATTTAAGGACAAAGGTGTTTCTTCCCAAGCGTCAGCTTATGCTGTCTGCAATGTCGAGAGACCCTCTCGAAAGGGAACCATGGTTACTATACTTAAACCATATGGTAACCACAAATTAACCAATGTTTTGCTACACAAACCATAGTTTAACCATGATATTTGTAGTAAAACCGTGGTTATAAAAATTGTAATAAATATGCCAAAAAAACATGGTTACTACACTTTTCCTATAGTAAAACCATGGTTAATTTTCGTAAGGGAATTAGAGATAATATCTAAATCCAGTCTTTTTTGAAATTCAAATTGTAATTCTATTGTGTAATTGACAGAGTCCGCCACACGAGGGCAGAAGTATACCGCGTTCTGTTATATCATCACATCTTATTATATCTCATTTTGTGAGTATTCTTAGTATTGCCGTCAACGAAGTGTTAACTAAACTAAAACTTAAAGCATAAAATTTTTTTTAAATTTTATTTCAGCTGATGCCAAGGAAACATATCTAAATTTCATTTCCTTTATGAAAATGAACATAAATTAGTTTTACTACAAATAAAAACAAACACATATGGCTACTATAGTTAAACCATGGTAACGTCAATTTAACCATGGTGTTGCAACACTAGTTAAACCATGGTATTTGTAGTAGTTGGTTTTAATGGTAATACGCCCCAAAAAATACAAAAAAACATGGTAACTACATTTTTACTATAAAACCAAGGTTAATTTTCGTAAGGGTAAGTTTCATTTGATGCACCAAAATAATTATAACCAAAACTGAAATAAATTAATAATAATAAAAAGACTATATAGACAAATAAAAAAAAAACTAATATAACATGTCTTGTGACAGGGCTGGTAACTGGTGGCAGTATAGAAAATTATAATACCTCAGTAGGCGCGCTTCCATTACAGATTTGACGATATTTTATAAATGTCGATAAAAAAAAGTATTGCGAGATGACGGACCGAAATGACACGCCGCAGACGTGTGCAATGTAAATAGTCTAAGCATTAATGGCAGGGAAAGCCCCTTATACTTGAGAGCAGCCACATATGAAGTGTTTATTGGAAGTTATAGTACATTGAGGAATGATCTCATATGACTTTTTGCGTAGGCTACACCATGTGACCTGTTAATGCGGAAAAAAAACTTTCCATTGCAGTTTTGCGAAATATTCCTTTTTTTTAGAATTGCCTGAAAAACCACCTGATGCGAGCGTAAAAGCTTTTTTGCGATATGGGCGTTTTTGCGAAATTGACGCGTTTCCATGAGGCGTATTTTCAATGCGCATTTTCAATTTGCGCAATTTGAAGGGTAATGGAAACGCGCCTAGTGATACTCAAATAACACTCAACATAATTTTTTGTAAATAAATAAATATATAAATAAACGTATTGCTTATTAATAAATAATAAGAAATAAGTGATGTTTCTCCAGACTCTAAATTTGACTAAAAAGCAAAGAGAATCTTTTAAAAACATTTTTTTCATTTTCATTTATATGTTCGAAAATAACTAAAACTCAAATAAAAACCATATAGACAAATAAAAAACAACAACTAATAAAACAAGAAAATAAATATAATTTATAAAATATACTAAATAAATACAAAAAATGTATCTCAACATAAATATTTAAAAAAACAAATAAAATAAACAAATAAATAAAATTGGTAATAAGCAATACACTGTAAAAAAAAAATTTACCATAAAAAATACGGTAGCAACGTTTTAGGTTTTACGGTTTTAACTTAAATTTACAGTTAAATACCGTAATTTCATTAACTGATATAATGTTAATATACCAACCTATTGAAGTACTGACATCTGTTTTGTACCTTTGTAATACACTGATAACCCCCAAATGCAGGTGGTGATGAGAACGTCACATGATGAACCAAAGCCCATCACAAGCAGCTTTTAAATAATATCATATATAGAAGGTGCACAGTGTCATTCACACAAACACTAAACACCATCACGGTAACACACATGAAACTGAAATAATGCAATAAACATTCATTTAACAACATTAGGTGTAACACACAACCCTAATATACAAAACTGATAAGAAAAAACTAAGAAGAAACATAGTTATTGCAACAAAACAACATCAAATTTGAAATGTAACGCAGGGAATTCTGGGAATGTCAATTTACAGTTATTCACTGTAAATTATACGGTATTTTTCACTTCCAAAAACGGTATACTACCGTAAAATTAATGTCCAATACATGTAATGTCCAATACAGTTTTTCACCGTATTTAGTAGGGGAATTTACCGTTAACCATTTAACAGGTTTTTACTGTAGCATTTTTACAGCCTTTTACCGTTAAATTCATGGTCATTTTTTACAGTGTACCTCTCCAGACTCTAAATTTTAATAAAAAAAGCACAATTCTTTTAAAATAAAATGTTAACTGATAAAAAAAATATTTAAAAAACCTTTAACCTTATTTTATTTCAGCTAGTTGCCTAGAAAACTTTTCTCACTTTCATTTAGTATTATTTGATGTTCTAAAATAAATAAAAACTAAAACTGAAATAAAATGAATAAAAACCATATAGATTAAAAAATAAACAATTACTAAAAAAATTAATTACAATTGTAAATAAAATGGAAAACATAAAAATAAAAAAGAATTCAAGCTTTTAATAAAAAATATATAATAGTATCTCAATTGTAAAAAAATAAAAATAAATAAATAACAAAAAACACACACACACAATATATATCTCTCCAGACACCAAAATGGGTTTTTAGAATTTCACTAAAAAGCAGAGATAAACTTCTTTCTAGAAACAGACAGTTGCAATCTCACCGGACACTGTCCTTCACCTCTCTTTGATATCTGATGATGGTTGTTCATAGTGTTTCACCGCCTAGAGCGAGACAGCCCATCACCCATTCAGGATGCACAGGGCTGCTGAGATAAGACTAATCCATTAAACCATTATTCAGGCAATGATGTCTTGAACTCTGGATGCAATTACTTTTTTAGCATTTCTAGCAAACGTTTGTTGCATAATCTTGTCAGTGCAGGTAAATGAAACATCTGGATCTCATCTGTAGTGTGTTACAGCACAGTCAGGAGGGCGTATGTATGCGGTGACATCATACGCGTCTTATTTCTTGCCTCCGTAATTGGCCCGTTTCCTCCAGCAGCACAGAACACACAAGTGGAGCCAGACACATGCTCACAAGGATTTTCCAGAAAGATGAGGGGCCCTGTCCGCGTGGAGGGGCTGAAACCACTGTAAATGTCACAAATGAATGAAGGGCCTCAACCCAAAATGCAATCTGACCCAGAGAGCCCCTGGGCAGTGCCGTTT